AATAAACTAACATGATCTTTTTGGCATTTATGCTGAATATGGCCTAGAAATGTGCAGTGTTTTCATTTCTACTCTCTCTCTTTGGACATATACGTAGAGGTAGCTTTTTATAAATTCTCCTCTATACTTTTAACTTGGATCCAAACCTCCAAAACTGTCTCTCTGAATGGGAAATGATTGTAATCTTATAGCCAACATCATTAAAGGCAGCCCAGAGTCTTCTATTGCCCATTACCTCAAACTGCTGTGGGTAGAACTTAACATTTTGTTAGGGTCAAACGTTCCCTTGTCAGTGGGGAAATTTTTCTGCTCTAAATGAAATGCTACAAAATAAATTTTCCCCCCACAAAGCTCTGAACCTGAAGCTGTTTTATTTATCTGGCCATTCTGAGTACTGTAAAACATGTTGCTTCATGTTGTAACATAAGCCCTTTTTAAAGTGTGCCCTGGGTATTTGCAATTGTTATCAGGCCCAGATGTATCTGAGTGACAGCGTGAAGCTCTCCAAGTTGGCTCAGATATACAGAATGTAATTAGCTCAAAGGCCTCCATACTACATTTGTAGAAGCACCAGCACTGCCTGAGAATAACCATTTGCTCTTCTCCTCTCCTCCTTTTCACCCCACCCCACTAAAAAAAAATGATGGCAAAGGTTAAAATTTATTGTTCGTGATGCTATAGCTGTTTTGCATAGTACAAATGTATGTTGTGATTGAGAATTTGAAAGAGAGGGAGGCAAAAGTTAGCTAGGAAAAAGAGACAAGATTAACAAAACTTATTACCTGAAGCAAATGAATTTAGAAGACCTCAAAGAGAAAACATGATCCTCAGTGAGTTTAAAGACCATTGGCTTGAAATTCAAAATCACAACATTTTGCTTTCTTCTCTGTTCTAGACCTCCAACTTTTAATAATTAATCTAAGAACAAACATTTACATTAGAATCAACATGTTTTCAACCAGGGCTTCATTTTGTGTCATGTTCCATTGAAAAGTTTCTCAATATCAGAAAGAAAGTAAGCCTGATACACAACTAAGGAGGGCTATAAATGACCCAAATTCTTGATAAAAACTGAGCACTATATTAGGTTCAGAAAAAAGGGCAAAACCAAACAAAAATAGGTGTGTCATTTACCCAATGCAGTCCACATTGGTGAAAGCAGCATATTTCTTTCTGACCCTTGCAGGAAATCAGTTTATGCCCTGAAGCATGAAATTTGATTGTAATTATTTTAGCTTGCTTGGCTACATATGTTATTGATGATCTTTCCTAAAAATCACCAGCGTTTTAGAAATCTTGCCACAGTACTTGACTCAACGACCTGTAAGTTATACATAATAGAAAACAAACCATGCAGGGTTTCTCTATTGATTGTTTTATAGAAATCACTCTTCCTAAAGAGTGAAGCACCAACATTATATAACATTCATATAGAAAATGAGATTATATTTATAGATACCTAAATATTTATAAAAGATGCAAAGTTCACATGAGTTAATCCACTGGCTGGAGACCTCATGTATCTTAGAATACTCAAAGTTCCAGTAGATATTTTACTCTTAATTTATAAATCCTAAAGCCAGTTTTTGCAAGTAAAATGAAGGAATGGGTTAAAGTAACTATCCAGGTGATAAAAGTTTCTAAACATATTGTTGAAAATGTTACTAAAATGCCTGGGGTTTGGTCTAAGTCCTGTTGCTCACAGCACAGAAAGCCAATCACTGAGACAACAAGTATAGCCAGGGAAGAAGGCTTTAACTGGCTGCTGCAGCCAAGGAGATAGATCAGTCTCAAATCCATCTTCCTGGTGGATTGAAGTGAAGGGTTTGTATAGCAGGGAAGAAATTTAACTGGGAAAATAGGAATCAGGGAGCAGGAAGGAAGAGGAGTCAGTAAACAGGAAACAGATGGTTGGTTAGGCAATCATGATGGGTGAGGGGTCTGGTGTCACACTGTCCAGATGTGGTGATCTGGTAACTTTTCCTTTCTTGATACTCTCTGGGAGGCTTGCTAGTTTGTTTCCTGAGAAAGGACCTCATATGAGTCAATTGTAATTTCCTCAAGTTTTAATACTGAGAGGGTACCTTTCTATGTTTATTCAAAAGAAACCATAAACGTCAGTTCTATGGGACAACTGGTATGGTTTCAAAAATACACATTGAGATGAACTCCCAAACTGGTCATCTGCATATATAAAAGTTTTTGAGTAACTTTCCAATTCCTCACATTATTCTTTTGCTGAAGAAAAAGTAAAAATCCTATATATGTACATCAATCATAAATTAATCAAATAAGCCAGATTATACAAGATTATAACTTTATAGGGGCTGTGGCTAACTGAACTGCAAGATGGAGGTTCCCCTGTTTATGAATTTGGTAGCAGAACCAGTGACCTTCCCCAGCAGTGTCTTAAGAAATCAAGGATTTTCCTGGCAGGTAGAAAAAGTTCCTTTTCATAGTATGGAAAATACATAGTGACATAACAATTATTTATGTCAGTTTGCTCTTTGCGGATTCTTCCCTTCTATTCTGAGTAAGAATTAAATCACACTAATTGAAATAGAATAAAATCCTGACTATACCTAGGATATCCACCTAAACTCCCTGCTAGAAAAAGTTTTACTTTCTCCTTCCACAATCTTCATGGAAGCTTTCACTCTCTCATCTTTTTCTCTCTCATTTTTCTCTTTCTCTGCCTAAATAAATTTCTTTCTGCAAAAGAAAGAGTTTCACTTCAATATTTGAGTGGCTTTGAGTACATTTCTTTGTTTCTCTTTATAGTCTGCCTCTGAATAATTAATATGATGTGTACCTGCCCACAGACTGCCGTGTGCAGGAACATGAACGCAGGTCTACCCCCAAGGAATTTCATTTTACCAAGTGAGACCAATATTTTAAGAGCTAATAATGAAATAAATCCTTGACTATCCCTTGAATAAGCATGAAGAGGGAGCAGTGACCGGATGCTCTAAGGGAATGGAAAGAGAAACCAAGCCCCAGATAGTGGCTAGGGGAGAGTAGGCTTCTCTAAAGAGGGATTAGTGAAATGTGATTTGGAACTTGATATGGTTTAGCTGTGTCCCCACCCAAATTTCATTGTGAATTGTAGCTCTCATAATCCCACCTGTTGTGAGAGGGACCTGGTGGGAGATAATTGAATCATAGGGGCAGTTCCCCTGTACTATTTTGTGGTAATGAATAAGTCTCACAAGATCTGATGGTTTTACAAGGGAAAACAATTTTCACTTGGTTTTCATTTTCTCTCTTTCTGCCACCCTTTCTCCATCGGCCATGATTGGGAGGCCTCCCCAGCCATGTAGGACTGTGAGACCATTAAAACTCATTTTCTTTATAAATTACAGTCTCAGAGATGTCTTTATCAGCAGTATGAGAACAGACTAATAAAGAGCTCCAAAAGGAACTAAGCCATTGAATAGGAAGTAAAACACATTTTACACAGAAGAAACCTCTCTTTTTCAGCCAAATGCATTTTTACATCAGCTTGGAGGTCTGAAGTCATCATTGAAAAGAAAATAAGCTTCAGCACCATTTAGGGGCAAGAAATCTGTTCCCTGAGTTACTTCAAAGACACTTCTGATCTCGGAGTATCTCTGTGACTCTCATTCCACTGTGATTTTTTTCTCCAGATTTCACACCCATGGATTGTGTGGCTCTGGTGAGGCATTAAGAAAGCCTACTAGGTATGAGGTATGGAATTCCAAAAGCACAACTCAAACCAAGTTCACTATAGGGGGAGAGGTTAAGTTATGAAGAGGTAGAAGAAATATTTTACATGATATCACAATATTCAGAGAAGAGGATGAAAGAAAAGCGGCAGATAATCTAGGAATAAGGGGAAGTTCTTCTCTTCTAAAGATGCTTCCCATATTACTAATAGAAGACAGAGGCACCAGATCCTTAAATAAATGACAGCCAGTAAATAATGAAGAGAAAATTGGAGAAAGCACATACATCTTTACATGTAAAAATGCTCTACTTCCTTCCCTCTCCCATCATTCCTACCTGGTTAGATTTTGCAAGCTCTCACTCCTCCTCTTAGGAAATAATTTTCCCCTGCAGCCTTAGTTTTGCAAAGTCAATGTGGCTTATGAAAATCAGGTTGTATTCTGTATATTTAATACATCATCTCTAAGGATAATCATTCTGGAATCTGAACTTGTTTCTGTTATCTAGCTCCTCTTGACAATGATTTATGAACCAGAAAACAAGACAGCTTCATTTTCATAAAGCAAACGGAACCTTCTGGACCAGGAGGAGCTGTGAAACTTGTTTTGACTAGTAAACTGAAACAAACATGACATAAAAGTCAATACAACTGCACCACTGGGCTCTCATTTTACAAAATAACTTTTTCTTCCACTGCAGCAGGATGACGGTTGAAATGTTGCATCACCCAATAGCAATTTTTATCGTCACTAATTACTAGCCTGGTGTGATGATGAAGGATGCTCAGAAATGAAAATAAGCACATGACAATCAACTTCTAGAACTGTCAGTCTCACCCAGAAAGTGGGAGCTTAAAAAACATTTTTAAGAAAGTATGTATTAAAAACAGTACTGTCTTAATTGAATTATTTACTTGGTGTGGGCATGATTTACCTAGAGTAAATGTTACTTATGATGAGAATTTGCAAAATAATTTAATAGTGTATATGAACTACAGTAGATACTGTAAAATCACTCTTTTGCCCATAAACATACATAATTAAAAGTATATATTACTATATGCTATATAAAAAGTATATATTACTACATACTATATACTGTATATAATATATACAATATACTACAATATATACTATATATTATTACTATATACTATAGCTTATATATATATATAGTAATATACTACATACTATAATGTATATTAATATAGTATAACATAGTTAAAGTAATAAACTTTTTGCTCAATGATGTGGTCTGGAAGAGGGAGCAAATATACCAGTGCAGGATAGAGAACAAACCACTAGACTTCATACCTGAGCATAGTCACTTAATTTGATTGTCTCTTCATCTTCTATTTGTATGTTTTCTTCTCTGTAAAAGGGCAAAAATAATGATAATATGAGCTTTATAGTATAGTCAGGAGAGGATTTAATGAGATACTGTGCTTTGTGTGTCTTTCATTGTTTTCGGTGAGTTGTTTAGTTCAGCAAGCTTCATAGAGTGCCCATCTTCTACTTCTATTTTCTTTTGGAAAATAAGACAAAAGTAAAAAGTATTCAAATGGTATTAACTGTTGTAAAAGACAAGAATGAGAAGATTATCTAAATCTCCTAAAATTATACAACAGTGGCAGCCTCACAGTTACATCATGAACACACCTAAGAGAAATGAGATGGTAATGCCTTAAGTGTCTGATTTCATCTTTGAAAACTGTCTTAAAAGGAGACAGGAACATAAAACAATGGGCATTTTAATGGACTGCATTCAACTAACTTAAACGTCTGAATAATTGATTTAAAATCTTAGTCTTCATACAGTTAGCTATTAAGTATATATGAGAAGTATAGAATAAAGGAGATCTCATGTAATTATCACATGTATTAAATAATCCCCATCTTTCTTTTAAATCTAATATTCTACAAAAATAGATTTCTATTGTGAAATAAAGTGCACAGTGTAGATGGCTACCCATTTTTGGCTACGTTGAAGAATACTAGATGGTCACTGTCAGTTTTATTCATTTATTTATTTTTAAATGAAAAATGACAGATGAAAATGAGATGTGAGTTTGGAGTCATCTCCACCTCCTTCCTACATTTAATTATCCATTGTTATTTTTGATTTTGAAATTTATACTAAAAGATGCATGAATTATACATATGCATTTTAAATAATTAGGTTTTAATTTTATTTTATTTACTTTTTTAGACAAGGTCTCGTTCTGTCACTGAGGCTGGGGTGCAGTGGTGCAAAGAGGGCTCACTGCACTCTTGACTTCTGGGGCACAAGGGATGGGACTTCAAGTAGCTGGGATTATAGGCAAACACTACCATGCCCTGCTAACCTTCTGTGGTTTTTTTTTTTTTTTTTGTACAAACAGGGTATTTCCATGTTGCCTAACCTGATCTTGACCTCCTGGGCTCAAATGATGCATCTGCGGCATCCCAAAGTGCTGGGATTGCAGACATGAGCCACTGCAACCAGCTCATAAGCTTCTTAAAATCATCCTTATGCTTATCCACCAAAGTTAAGAAATAGGACATTACCAGAGCCTTATGAAATCTATTTACTCTTACCCATCACATTCCCATTCCTCAGCCCACCCACTCCTGGTATCACTATCCTTCCTGCATTTCCTGTTAACAATTTTCTTCCTTCTCTTTAAAGTTTTTTATCTTCATATGGATCTCTCATCAATCTAGATTTTTGAACTGCTAGTTTTCAAGGTTGATGTAAATGAAACCATATGTATACCTCTTTCTATGTCTTCTGCTTTTGCTCAACAGCAGTACGTTGACATTCACTGCTCATGCAGTTATCAGCTTTTTTTCCTCCAATGAATACTTCCCATTGAATGAGCATTCCACAGTTTATTTTTTTTATTCTTCCATTAATAATCATTTGGACAGTTTTCAGTTATAGACTATTTTTATTATTTATTTAGGAGATGAGGTCTCACTATGTTGCCCAGATTGGATTTAGACTCCCAGAATTATGTGATTCTTCCATATCTGCCTCTCAAGTACCTGGGATACAGGCATGTACACCACACCTGGTTCAGTAGAGTATTTTTAATAGTGCTGAGCACGTGTAAGAATTTCTGCAAGTTATATGTCTAGAACTCAAATAACTACATTGGAAAATGCACACATTTGCAAACTGTTAGATAATCTCAAACTGTTGTCCAACATGGTTAGATTAGCTCATTCTCCATTTAGCAGCAGATTAAACTCTCATTGTCCTACAACTTCACCAAATCAAAATAATGGGCATATTTACTGAAAAAACAAGTCAACCTAAAAACATAATTTAGGTGTTCAAGTCATCAAGGTGATATTTTGGTTTTAAAATCAGGGCCAGGCCCAGTGGCTCACGCCTGTAATCCCAGAATTTTGGGAAGCTGAGAAGGGAAGATCACGAGGTCAGGAGTTCAAGACCAGCCTGACCAACATGGAGAAACCCTGCCTCTACTGCAAATACAAAAATTAACCAGGCATGGTGGTGGACGCTTATAATCCCAGCTGCTCAGGAGGCTGAGTCAGGAGAATCACTTGAACCCAGGAGGCAGAGATTGCAGTGATCTGAGATCACACCACTGTACTCCAGCCTGGACAACAGAGTGAGACTCTGTCTCAAAACAAAACAAAACAAAATCAGTTGTCTTCCAGTCTTATAAATAAGGGATTTAACGAAAATGTCCCCAGTTAATTAACTCAATATTCATATTTTTGGTGGAGCACTAAACACAGAATGAAGATGCTTGCCCAGGATTATGTCTGGAAAAATCTCAGCAATTGAAAATGCCCTGCAGCTTCCTGAATCTCAAAGGTGGAAGTGGAGAAGTAAATGAGATCATGAGACCTAGAGAGGACTGACTGAGAGCCCACCTTTTCTCCTGTGTGTCTCTTATTGGTTTGGGGAAGGAATGTAACAGCCTCTGCCCAGGAGGTATGTCAAGGAAGGGAGGCCCAAAGAGTGAAGTTCTGATTTGCTGTTTCCTGTCGGAATGATTAAGGAAGACCAACTACGTGATGCTGAGATTTCCTTCTAGTTCTGATACAGTGTCATGCTGTCTTTGAATGTTGTTTTGTGTTTTTTAAAATGTGACAGTCAGTCAGATCCGCCATAAGAAAAGACAGAAGAGAGGTTCAGAAAAACAAAGTGTGTTAAACTCTCAGGTCCTATCATCAGGAGGCACAGCATGCCATGCAGGGCTATAAAGGGAAGACATGGTGGTCAGGAGGCAAAAGACAGGAGCCAGCGGAAGGCTTAGGCCAGAGCCTTTGTTGGGGTTTCTGTGGGAAAGGCAATGGAGGGCAGAGTGAATTATTTAGGATGGGCTAGTTTGAATAACTTAGCAAATTCTAAACTACAGGGGTAGTCTGTAGCCATTTGGTACCTGTCCCTGGAATGGTTAAGGCAGAGGAATGTTACCTCCTGAAGTGTAAGGGCCAGAAGAGGAGGTATGGCTCTGGATTGATCAAAGGCAGGCTCCTGGCAGAGTTTTTGCTACCTCCAAGAACTGGCTATCCCCTGGAGGGGCAGTCTCTCCCCAGACAAAAAGGTTTTTAGTTTTGGTTATGGATTTTTTTAGAAACAGGGTCTTGGTTCTGCCATGCAGACTGCAGTGCAGTGGTGCAATCAAGGTTCACTGCAGAATCAAACTCCTGGGCTCAAGCGATCCTCCCATTTCAGCCTCCCAAGAAGCTGGAACTGCAGACACGTGCCACCTCATGAGCCTGGCTAATTTTTGTATTTTTTGTAGAGACAGGGTATCACTCTATTGCCCAAGCTGGTCTTGAACTCATGGCCTCAAGTGATCCTCTGGCCTCAACCTCCTAAAGTGCTGGGATTACAGGCAGGAGTCACCATGCCTGGCCTCAAAAAAGGTTTTTAAAGATGTCAAAATATCAAAAAACATAGAAAATTATATTTATATCTATATATACACACACACATATTACGTGTGTGTATATATATAGATATGTATATATCAATGGATATGTACATGTTTATATAAACACACACATATAACTTGTGTGAGAATATATAGATATATCTAAATATCTAGATATATTTCAATATATCTTTATTATATATATCTATAGAGATATATCTGCATATATACACACAAGTTATATATGTAGATATATACCTATCTGTGTAATCTATACACATATGTATATATATATATATACACATACACATTTATGTGTGTGTATACACAAATATATATATGATAAACACGTCAAGAAAACAATACAGAGAAGGTACAAAGCTGTTTAGAAATGTAATTGTCCAGAAATCTTCAAAAATTTTTACTGATCTGGTTTTACACATAAAGACTTAATCAAAATATATTTTCTCACTTAGTATCAAATGTGATAAACTTGGTAAATGTACAGGCTTAAAAATCCAATCCTTAGTGATTTCTAGAAATAAATAGACTGATTTTATGAGCAGCTTTGGGACTGATGGGGAACAGTTCCGTATCGACAGATATTAAAAACCTATTCATGTTAACTAGACTGTGTGAACAGGAGCACATCCACAGGACAATTTCTCAGCACATCAAATTAATGACTTTCCTTCAGAGGAAGAGGCATAAAATAGTCAAAAAAGGTTAGATTAGGTCCTCATGTGGTGACCAGACCCCACTGAAAAAGACACGATTTAATCATTTCTATTCTAAGAAAAATCAGCCTTAGTTACTATATAATTAATCCATCATAGGCAATTATTGTATTGACTATAAAAATAGACAAATATAGGTTTGACCCTGCCCTGTCTTCTTATTCAGGTAGGTAGAGAGTGAGTCCAATATTTGAATACTCTTCTCATTTAAATTAGGCAAAAGCAATAGGAATTTAGAATGTACATTTTTAAAACAAACTGCAATAAAACTATTACACTGACAAAATTTAACCTAATATTTCCACTTTGTAAAATATATATGTTTGCATAACCAAAGAACTTAAATATTAGATGAAGATATAAAGATTTAAATTCTTCTTGGGTTGTTTTTACCTTCCCATTCCCAAAATGATACTTTTAAATGGCTAATGATAAGTTCATTAAAATAATTTGCTAACAAACATTTTGGATTGCCTAGTGGTGTCTGTTTGGCAATATGTAGTGTCTTGAGATTATCTGCATTTGGCCTGCTCTCAATGCAGAAGCATATATGTAAGTTAATGCTTCAAGAAAGGCATAGACTGGATTAATCTGAGATCACGATGTCATAACTCCTCCAATCTGGTGCATGTTTATTTCTCAGCAAGTAACCTAGTTTGATGGCCATGGGCCAATGGAAACATAAATCCTCATATAAGTTGGGAGAAATGATGGATTCATTTGTTCAACCTTGAAAA